TGTACTAGTCCTAAGAGATCTATTGATTATCAGTGCAATAGGCAAAGCCAATGCATTAGCGCAATTGCGTACAAATATTGATGGAATGCCATCTGCTCCAGCTCCTTTCTTAATGTCAAGTCTTTTTAAAACATTGTAAACCTGCTCCACTGTATAAGATATATAATCAAGGTACACATTGCAACAAGGGTTCATAAGATTAGGACTAGTATCGAAGTTTTGGATATTATTATTGCGACTGTATACTGACGACTGTATCCACTACCCCCATATCTTCCCTTGGGTATCGTAAGAGGCGACAGAGGGAGGCAGGTAGGAGATGGGCAGCATCTTCCTAATAACAACTATACAATAAAAAAATGCTGTTGCTAACCCGCTCGGCAACTATGGCAAACATCCCACCATGAGGAACGACACAAAAAACGACCTTCAGTCCCCGGCGGCCCCGCTATTCCTGGCTACGGTGGCGACCACGGTAACGGCGGGGCAGGGGGTACTAAGAATTTCCGGTGGAGGTTCGGTTGCCACCTACGATGACTCGACCTGACAACGTATAACGCACGCACCCTGAGGACTGACGAGAAGATACTGGAGCCAGAAGAAGAGGTAGACAAGTGCGCTGGCGTATAATAGGATTATTCGAAGTCCGAAGAGAGGGGGAGGACACGGTAATCCTGGAATCCGGCAACTTGTTCTATCACCGGGAGGGCGACCATCTGTCCCAAGGAGGTGTCGGATTTATCGTCCACAAGTCTCTCGTCAAAGTTGTAAATATTGAGTGTGTCGACGAGGGTTGCGTACCTGATACTCAGAATCACCAAACGGTATTCGCTAAGGTCATGCAGGTTTACGCACCAATCTCGGCACATCACGATGAGGAGGTGAAGGAAATGTATGAAGATATCTCTAGAGCCATGCATTCCTCCAAAACCCACTATACAGTGTTAATGGGAGACTTCAACGTGAATCTAGGCACAAGAGAAAGCGGTGAGCTTAAGTTAGGGAAATTTGGAATGGGGCAACGGAAACCAAGGGGCCAGCAGCTGAATGACTTTATGGAGTAAGAGGGACTCTTTATGATGAACTCTTTCTTCCAGAAGCGGCCCACAGGAAGTGGACTTGGTCGAGCCCCGACGGTTTGACAAAAAATGAGATTGACTTCATTATGACGACCAGACGCCAACTGTTCAGTGATGTCTCAGTGATCGCAAGGGTGAAAACTGGCAGCGATCACCAAATGGTTAGAGGCACACTGAACATAAACGTTAAGTTGGAGAGGTCTCGTCTAATGAAGTCAACGCTCCGTCCCCCTCCTGCTCTATCCAGAACCCCGAAACATTTCAGCTCGAGTTACGTAACAGCTTTCAGTGCCTAGAAGATTGCAATGCAGTGGACGATATGAATGACAAGCTCGTGGAAACTGTCCATGCGGTCGGAGCTAAGTTCTGCAAGACCCGCCGCAGAAGAACAAAATATTTCCGATCACACTCTTAATCTCATGGCTGTTAGACGGGAAATGACGCTGCAGTCTTCAGTACATTTGGCAGCATACAGGCAACTGAACAGACAGATCTCCAAATACATGCGGCGGGACTTAGGCAACTTCAGTACAACTCGTATTGAAGAAGCGATCGAGCGGGACCAAGGCTCCAAAGTCTTTGCCAGGGATTTGTCTGTCAGAAAGAGCCAACTGTTGAAGCTAAAGACCGAGTGTGGCAGCATCGTTTCCGGGACACGTGAGATTTTGAGTGAGATTGAGAGGTTATATTGGCAGCTGTACACGTCATCGTCGGAGCCACACGCAAGTGTGAGTAGCGATCCAAGAGCTAGACTTATTCGGCACTATTCCGATGATATCGCGGACGTCAGTCTGAGCGAGATTATAATGGCTCTCCAGCACCTTAAAAACAGCAAGTCCCCGGGCGAGGATGGAATTACAGCGGAGCTTCTGAAAGCAGGTGGTAAACCGGTACTTGAAGTCCTTCAGAGGCTCTTTAATTACGTCCTCCGTCGTGGCACTACTCCCGATGCGTGGAGCAGAAGTGCGGTGTTCTTGTTCTTCAAGAAAGGTGACAACGCTCTCTTGAAGATCTACACACACACTACGCGGAAAACGCTAGTTTCCCACAAGAGAGAGCTTAAATATTCTTAGTTTCAAGCTACAGTTTTTAAATAAAATTTATGTGGCAATTCGTTTGCAAAAAAAAATTAAGTCTAAAAGAGAATTTGCTCTTCAATGACAGACATTAACGATCGCAGACAAAAATGGCCGACAAAATGGATTGGTACGCAGAATAGGTGAGCCACGCACATCAGTGGTATCAAAATCAGTATATCTAATAAGCTGGCCTCGTATTGTATTTAAATAAGTATCGTCTCGTCTACTTTTCCTTACCTCAACTATCAGGGTTAATTTCTGATATAATTTTGTAGAATGTTATTACCTAAATATTGATTTTCTTTATTCTTGTTGTTATTCAGTTAGTTGTTGTTTTTAATTTTAAACATAAAATATACAACAAAAATATACTTCACATGACAATACTGAAGAGAACGTTCGTCCATCTACCTTCGTTGATAATGATAATTCATCAGATCCAATTCCATCAAGTAGCAAATGCCATTGTATAACACCTTTGACAAATATACATGAACAATCACACGAAAGTAATAATAGTTTGTCTCAAACAGTAAATATGCAACCTAAAACTTCCCCAGTTAGTACAAAAAACTGTACCAATTTCAATGTATATGTGAATTATAACTTCTATAAGAAATAAATGATTAGTTAGTTGAGTTTATTGTGTTTTTATTATTTTATTAAATTGCTTCTCTTTTTCGCAACTGTATTAAAAATAGTTTTTCTGTACACATGCGGAACCGTCATTGCAACTTGTTCCAACTGTCAACCCTCTCCTTCGGCTGCACCTCGGCTCGGGTAGACATTTGTCGGAACTCTTTGCAATGACAGGCTTCCCGCACAAGTAGTGAAATATTATACTATAGTAAATATAACCTAGAAAAAGCCGCCGTAAAACACGTGAAAGTCTGTGCAATAAAATGTTAAAAAAAGTTCTTTAAAATTTACCCTCTAGCTACAGTGGTATCACCCTTATTTAACGCTTTTTTTACTCAGAAGGGCTAGAACCCAGAGCCGTAAAGCCAGTTAATAAAAAAATTACGCTTTTTTTTTTTACGGACACTAATACGCAGCCTGCTATCCTTGCCACTACACTCCCTAAATGAGTATGAGGTGTTTTAGAAAGAGATTTTTTTAAATTATATTACCAGTTTGTTCATATATATATACATACATAAACACTCACGCCTGTCACGAAGAGGGGTAGGCAGAGACTACGGACTTCCATTTGGCAAGTACCTGACATACCTCTTTCGCCTTCTTCGGTTAAGGGTACTTCTAACGTGGCCCATTTTAAAAATGTCGCCAATTTGGGCGATAAACTTTCTTCTAGGGCGTCGCTTCCCGACTTTGCCGTTCACATCTGCCATATAAACTTGCTTTGTCACTCTTTCCTCATTCATTCTTTCTACATGACCAAACCACCGAAGCATTCCTTTCTTAATCCTGGTCACAACATCATCTTGCATACCATATATATTTTTACACCTTTTAATATATTCAAAAAATTATCATTAGACTGTAGTTGTGACATAACATTATGTAATATTATATTAAATTATAATAAATGTCAATTAAAAAATTGTATCACACACAATTAACAAAACAATTTAAATAAATAATTTTTTGCGCACCCCTTTCCCCAAGGGGGGTCGTTTCCGATACGGCTAAAAGATCTTACCAGGTTAAATCCAGTGTTACAGGTGGTGTTTAGTGTGCAGAAGTCCCACATAACCACGCAGCCGGCTGCGTGGTATGCTTTGAGCATTCACTACCTCCCTCCCCCGCTTTCCAGAAGGTAGCCCTTCTTTGCTTCTGGGCGCAAAAAAAGACTCATACATAGAGAAGCGCACATTTTTTGTTTGGAATAGCTTCTCTAGTAAGTACGTAGTACATACAACTCAATGACTAGTAATTTGCAGATTATATGAACATTAGTGTTCAATGTGAGGAAGGTTAATATACAACATGTAAAATTTAGTTTATAACAACGTGAACGTCTTTCAAACAGATAATTTACCTACGAGTACCTCGCACTTACTATTTTTATTATATATACCATTTACATTTTTCTTTGCTATTTACGAACATGCGACACGTGACGGCATTATTAATGATAGAGTGGCAATGGGAAGTGCTACATTTTCAACCTTTTTATTTAATCGACCAAGCGTTTAATTAATAACCAGTATATGCTGATCTTGTATTAGGCTTGTATTAGCTAGTATTTGGAGGTCTACTTCCAAAAACTGCGAAGCTGTGGTCGGTTTGCTAGTCAAATAATTATCTAGATGTACCTATAAATAATAATATCTTTCGCTTTAGACGAAAGTTAATCGAACAAATTGGCGATATATTGAAGATGGAAAACAAATACCAAGAGTACCCTTAACCGATGAGCATGTATGTGAAGTGAGTAGTCTCTGCCTACCTATCTGGTTATGTTTTTTGACCCGAGCGTATCCCAATACGGAATGTTTTAACGGAATTCAGTTTAAAAAATGTTGTATTTTAAAAATGAATAACAAAGGTTTGAGTTACTTTATTCTATGAAAACTAAATTGAGACTACCGTTGAGTGTACCCTATAGCCTGTTTAATAAAAAATAATTATTAAAATGGATTTTCAATTGGCGAAGATATAGTACCTATAGCGTAACATACATACAAAAATATACAATCGAATTTAGAACTTCTATTTGAAGACGGTTAAAAAATCTAGTAACTAATTCACTTAATATATATATATATATATATATATATATATATATATATATATATATATATATATATATATATATATATATATATATAGTGAATTATTTAAATAAAAAATTGCAATCGAAGCTCGAATAGAACGTTTAATTATGAATATCCACCACTTCTGCTTTCAACTTCGTGGCAAGTGCTTTGCGGAGTGACATAGCGTCGGGAGGTGGCGGAGGCGTATTTCCCGCGAGAGCCGCTTGTGCCATTCGAGCTGAACGAGGTCTTTGTTGTCGTTGAGTGCTACTTATCCCCTCCCCTCCTGTGGAATTAACATTTTTATTAATTATTGGTGTAATTAGATCTTCATACATATAAATAAAATTGAAATGTCTGTCTGTATTATCGAATAACCGTTTTATATTGTTGTTGGTATGTTCTGGCAAATTGGAATCTTCGGAATGGCTGAACGTATAATTATAATGAAACTTCACGAAAGAGAGCAATGCCAGGAGCGATCGAGGATAGATCTTATCCCAAGAACTTGTAATGGCTCGGCCACACTATGCTCCTTGCACTGCTCATCGTTGCTCATCGCTCTGCTCCTTGCGCTGCCGCGATGTTGCCCCGTCTGTCCTTTCCGTATATACACTCTTATCTATGGTCTGTCCACACATTGCTCTACTCGCGCGATCAATCGCGACGCTCCGCACTAGGTCCACAGAGTACCTTTGTAATTAGGTCGCTCGCATTTGCAACACAATGTGGCTTGAAACTGTGGCAGCTTGCGCCCTATGCATATAGTATAGTATATATCAATGTCTTAATATCTGTCTAAAAAGATCCTATCATCATCATTCATATAATGATAGGGATTTGGGGTTTTTATCGGGGCAAGCACAGTTGTGTCTGTAGCTCTTGCCATAGCAGTTGTTCTGCTTGTTCGCGTTAAAGAAGTGTTGTTCATTCCGCTCGCACTACTCTGTTGCGCTTGACGACGCCACTACGCTTGCCTTGCTGCGGTGACTAGTTGTACAGATTATTTCTCATAATAAGAGTTAATAATCTTGTTTGATAATTTTTATATAAACTGTTGTTCTGCAGATAGTGTTAAAAAAGCTGAAAGAACTACCAACAACAAACTTAATAAAAAGCCTTGATGGTCAGCTTTCCGGCTTAATGCGTTTGTTTTTTTTTTATTAATTCGGAATAATTTAACTTCTGGGTAACAGAATTTTCTATGGAAAAGATTCCAAGATACGACAGTCTTTCCTGACACATAGTAGAAACGTACATACATACATACATACATACATACATAATACATAAACACTCACGCCTGTCACCCAGAGGGGTAGGCAGAGACTACGGACTTCCATTTGGCACGATCCTGACATACCTCTTACGCCTCCTTTACATCCATATATCTACGCATACATGCTCGTCGGTTAAGGGTACCTCTAACGTGGCCCCTTTCAAAATATCGCCAATTTGGTCGATAAACTTTTTTCTAGGGCGTCCCTTCCCGACTCCGCCGTTCACAACTGCCATATAAATTTGCTTTGTCACTCTTTCCTCATTCATTCTTTGTACATAGTAGAAACGTAGGTAAAATTACAAATGTTTTAATGTATTAAAAATTCGTTTCACGTTTAGCGACAGTTATAGTACAGGTATAGTCAGCAAGATGTGAAGTGCTACACATTTAGGAAAAACTACTACACATTTACGTGGCTGTGCTGATTGATGTTCTTTAAATAATGGGTTCAAGTTTATAAGTTTCTGAACCAATTTACAACCAGAGAAATCACATTATGACCATCTGTTCAACTGATTTGCAAATCAACACAGGATTTTTGGCCTTTCAGGAATTATTTTCATTTTGTATGAAAATGAACACGTATCATAGAATTTTGATAGATAAGTTAAGAAACCAATGCACTTTTAATTGTATCAATCTCAGGGTAGAAAACGTTCATTTTAAACAATTTGTTAGGATCAGTTAGTGTCTCACCTACGGCTTCGTATACAAATAATATTTTCTTTCTACTCAATCGGGTTGGCTTAAAAATTGGATCTATATTTATTACAGCAGACGAAAAGGCTTGGTACTGTTTCAAAATTTTGACAAAATTTTCAAACAATACTACACCTTTGGTAAATCCATAGATTCCGACTGCATAGCTTTTTTGTGCGAGTAGCTATGCAGGTCTAGTAAGACCAGTACCACGGCGACCTAAAATACCTATTGTGATCGCTGCTATGGCTATAGTTCACTGCTAAGCCCTATGCCTTCAATGAATTTTTGAACTTTTTCTTTGAATGAGCAATTTCACTTCTTCTAGGCGAAGAAGATAGTTTCCCAGATGCCAGAATAGCCATGTGCTTTTTAACACAACAGTGTCCAATCAGGGCTCTTGCCAGAATGCGCAGTTTATTTTTAACTAATCTCAGGGCTTCTGAAGCGAATTTACGATCGAAAACCCGGATTAGGGTTTTAATATATTTTAAGCCTGGTGTGTCAGACCAGATCTTAAGTGATTCATTGTGATAAAGAGTTTCAAGGGTCACTCGGGCTAGGCTTTTTGGGGTTTCACAAAATGGCTCGGTTCCAAATTGTGTGCTCTTTATGCCCTCCCGTGCGAGCTCATTGGCAAGTTCATTACCTACAATACCCGCGTGGCACTGAACCCATCTTAAAACGACCCTGTTGCTACATTCCAAGGGTTTAGACAATTCACGTAGTCTCCAACTAGCTTTGAGTTCACTAAGTTTAATATCAGTGGTAGCAGTGCTGCTTGACTATCAGAGTTTATATAAATTATATGGTTGACGTGTAGTATTTTTGCAGATTGATTTCTGCACACTGAAGTATTTTCTGCCTGGAAGATAGAGGTGAATTTGGGGCATCCTGCATACATTCCAAGGCCCATTCTTGACCCACCGGTGTACCATATAGGGTTACTGACCTCAGAGATAACTGGTCCATTCAGCTAGTCTTCTCTGGAGGGTAGTTCCACTATTTACTTTTTATTAAAAGTGTATAGTGGACGCATGATATCTGAGACCATGCATAAGACCCGTGTTTCCTTAATTGAGTCGAGCATGGATCTCAATTTTTAGGAAAGCAAGCGCAGACCGAATCCTGTACAAACTAGCCCTCGCCTCCTGGTCTAAATTAAAGTAATTGGGTGGTAGGCTCAGAAGTGTATTAAGAGCTGCTCCAGGCGATGATGGCATCGCTCCAGTTGCCATTAAGCAGGCAGTTCTTTGTAGACTATTTAGTCTGTCCGCAGTTGTCTTTTGCTTGGCCTTATTACACCAGACAATGGAGGCGTAGGTGATAATCGGCCTCACTATGCTGCTGTTCAGCCATAGGATCATACTGAGACGCAAGCCCTAGTTGTTCTCAACCATACGACTACACGTACCTAAAACAATTTTAGCCGTATGACATACGTTGCTATTTGCTAAGGCGAGAGTTACACGTTAGTTTTTGGTCGAATTTTACGCTTAAATACTTAACTTTTTCGGTAACATTGAAGTTGTTAGAACTTAATTTGCTCATTTCCGCGTAATAAAGTACAATGATGTGCCCTGCCCAGTCTGAAGAGCATCCACTTCCTATCCTCCATTAGTTGGGTACACTATCCCCTTCACCACCACTTTCAGCACCATCACTCCCAGTGCCATCCCTTTCAGCACCACCACACTAGGATCGACACACCACCCTTGATAATACGACATGTGTTTCGCCTATACACGACGAATCCTCAGATGAAGTAGATTCTGCGGAGGATAACAAAATCTTCGTCACCACTAATCCCATCACCACCACACTTAGCACTCTCTCCGCTCTCCACACGCTGCTATTTATACAACTCGTTGATCACCGAGTTGTATAAATAGCAACTGTTTCGGCTCGCCGTTCATTTAGCCTTCAGTCACCGCAGAGACAACTACACCCGAGGATGCCTCGGGTAGAGGCAAAACACGTATAGTATTATCGATAGTGGTGTGTCGTCCCTATAGTTCATAAAAGATAGCTTGATCTCTGCGACAGCTGTCAGTAAAAATCACGCCTATGAAGTCCTAAATTTCTTAGTAGTACAGACAGTACCTGTCAATGTCATACTTTATGGGTATGCCGACTTAATTAGTGCATGCCCATAAAGTATGACATTGACAGGTGCTGTCTGTACTACTAAGAAATTCAGGACTTTATAGGCGTGATTTTTACTGACAGCTGCCGCAAAGATCAAGCTATCTTTTATGAACTATATTGTGGTAGTGTTAGTGTGGTGGTATTGGGAGTGGTGGTTACGGGGATAGTGCATGCAATGGAGGGGGGTTGGGATGTGCTCTTCAGACTGGGTAGGCACATTATTTTATTTTATTTGCGAATATGAGCAAATTAATTCTCGTTTGTATGCATGTAATCACACTTACTTTTTACATTTAATGAAAAAAAGGGCTGAAATACGCCTACCCTCGAATCCCGGTGAGGTTTCAGCTCCTAGCTGTTTTGCTCGCACCTGTTTCTTAAGCGCCAATAACTTATCTCTCTGTTGTTTAAGATATTCTTGACGAGCTCTCACTTCATCTTCACTTACCTGTCAAGCAGATATAAATATGTATAACCAAAGCTGTAAAGAGTGCGAATCATTTATGTTTCATTAATTCTAACATGTATATTTATTTATCAATAATTCTATTGATGCCAGGGTCGAATCCGGGTTGCTAGTGTACTGTTTAATTCATAACGAGCTTAATCTCTGAGCTTTGAGATTTGTTGCTATTACTTTGTGTTTTATTCACCAATCATCATTTTTAGCCCTTTCTAAATGTCCAATGATGGTTCAAAAAAATAGATTTTGGCAATTTTCTATATTTGATGAGATAATAGCGATAAAATCTACCAAAATCGAAGGCGAGTGCAGTTTCGAATTAGATGACCTGTAAGTGATTTTTAACATCTATAAAGAAAAAAAAACAAATTTAATTAATTCAGTTGCTAAAAGGTTATAAAACTAATCTTCGACCAAGAAATTTAGTATGGCACTTCTTTTAGCATTTTCTGAACGTAGGTTATGAATAAAATATTTTTTTAGAGTTGGCATCATTGACATTGATTCAATGCGAGCCTGAGATGCGAATAGTTAAGCATTCGCACACATTCGCAGTGCATTTACCAAGAGTACAAAAAGTACGCGCTATCGTCCTCTCAATCATATTTGTGATTAATCGCATGTTAGATCTTTATTCGATATTGTCACGTTAAGAATGTAAAAATTTTTATGCAGACATTTTCATTAGTTAGAAATTTTATTCATTTATTGTATAAAAGGAGTCACATTTTGGCAATAAATCATTCTACGCACGCATTCTAATCTAATCACTCGAGTTTTTCGTTAAAAACCCCAACTTGTTAAAAACACAAACCTAATTATTACTATTATTAATAACTTAAGTTCATTAAAGGAAGTCTCATGTTAAGATCTTTGACACCGTCATACCTTACGAGGGTTGTGTTCGTAATTTTGGTCTCCTCATGGATGAGAATTTAAAATTTGAGCAACATGTTCAGACTAAAATCGGCATATGCTATGGTTCGTTAAAAACTTTGTATAAAATTCGCTCATTTCTAACACGTGACATAAGACTGCTGCTTTCTTACAGTTTAGTACTATGCCACCTTCATTATTGTGATATTGTTTATGGTCCATGCTTATTTAAAAAAAACTGTGAAGAATGTGCAGAGAGTGCAGAACACATGTATGCGTTTTTGTTTTAATATACCGAAAGAGGATAGGATTTCACCTTATTTAGTCAGTAATGGCATTTTAAATATGTGCAATAGTACTAAATTAAAATATGCCTTAGAGTATATTGCTTTCTGCACACTCTGCATCACGCAAAGTCTCCAAGATATCTGGATGATAAGATAGCCGTTGAAAAAAAAAGTTTGCTTTCAGCCAGAGAAAATAGTCATCAGCTTCCACTACCCAGGAGTAGACTCGCTGGAGCCAGGGGGGTATTTTAAATTTGCCGCTGCTAAAATTTGGAACAATTTGCCACCACCAGTCTGATCTACCCTATTTCCGTCTACCTTCCGACAAAGATGCCGCAAGTGGCTTATTCAAAAACAGTCCCTGGCTCTATGTGGCTTTGATACCCCCTCAAATTAGACAACTTTTTTTTTCAACTTTATTTAGAAAGTATAATTTATTAATTGTTTTATTTACATTTTTATTTTTATTTTTACTTTTTTATTATTGATAGGTGTGTTCATCAATTGCCTAAGACCCTGTATGAATTATGCGCAAAGGCTGTGGCAGAATAGCAGGAGTAATGGGTTTCCCGTTACAACTGAGTCACAGACCGTCTTGTCACAACTAGTTATTAAGCTCTCTATTTTTTAACATTGTATTTATTTATTTATTATTTATTAATCACTGATCTATGGACTAGCTATACCACTTACTAATAAGAAGTACTAGAGGTAATAAAAATTTGGCACTAGGGGTGGATTCGACCAAATACCATGCTACACCAGAGTACTAACCCTCAAACAATTATGCTCTTTGGTCTTCTCTCAGATAACTTCGTTTGCGATTTTCCAACATAAATGTGGCGTAGCCAATGCCGGGTATTGTTACTCTACAGTTTGTAAATCAATATCAACAGTAACATTTGATAATTATCTGTTGTCGGCGACTTTGGTTGTTAACAAATATGGGTAGAAAAGAATAAGTATTATATCCAAGGAACTCGACAACCCTATTGAATTTTATTGTTTATCAAAACCCAGTAATCAATAGCCAAACATGTAAGTAATTACGATATTAAGAATAGTTATAAATTTTTAAGTACCTATATTATCAAAGAGTATATTTTTTTAATATTAGCTGTAAATTCGCTTACTTGTGGAATGTTATCTCACTTTCCTTTTGGTAACGAGTTTTACAAATTACGCACATTCTCATTATTACTAAAAATAATTTTTATTATATAACAAAATTCTCTTCTGTATTTTAAAATTTAAAAGTTTATACGATTCAAACAACACAACAGAATTTGCCATATTATATCAATTTTAGTTTCCGGTAGCCCGATACGAACAATGGCAGCGCTTCAAATCGGCACAAACATTTTATAGCGTATAGCCAGTCCAGCGTACTTGTTATAGAGGTCAGTGTCATTAGCACATAAGCGTCAAACATGGCACATTACCATTCAACTGCTTCTTATATGTGTATCAGTACAATATTATGTAGAACATCGGCTTATGCTTTGCATTATGGGCAATGAGAGATTCGCGCTCTGTAGCTTGCTTTGTATAACCTAAGATCTAATCATACATTCTGAATCACCATTGTTACCAAAGGTCGAAGGAGTGATGGGGCCACAGCTTAGTGTATACATACTTATGTATGTATACGTGTGTGTTGACCACCGGAATCTGTTACTGTTACCGTTACAGCCTATTGAAGTCCACTGCTGAACATAGGCTTCCCCCATAGTTTGCCTCATAGGGGGACATTTGTTATAGTTACCACGCTTGGCAAGCGGGTTGGCTACCGCAGTTTTATATTTTTCGTCGTTATTAGGAAGACATCGGTCCCTACTTTAACGTATGGTAGTGAAAGTTGGGTGTGGCAGAAGAAGCACGAGAGTAGAATGAACGCAGTGGAAATGCGGTCGTTAAGGAGTGTGTTAGGGCTGAATCTGAATGACAGGATGAGAAATTGTGTGATAACAGAAGAGTGTGGTTTGCAAGATGATGTTGTGACCAGGATTAAGAAAGGAATGCTTCGGTGGTTTGGTCAAGTGGAAAGAATGAATGAGGAAAGAGAGAAAATTTATGTTGCGGAAGTGAATGGCAGAGTCGGAAAGGGACGTCCTAGGCGAAAATTTATCGACCAAATTGGCGATTTATTGAAAACGGGCCAAATGATGTGAAGGAGGCGAGAGAGGTGTGTCAGGATCGTTCCAAATGGAAGTCTGTAGTCTCTGCCTACCCCCCTGGGTGACAGGTGTGAGTGTTTATGTATGTATATTAGGAAGACGCTGCTGCCTGTCTCCTAATTTGTTTCCCTCTGTCGCCTTTTACACTTGTTGACACTTACAAGAGGATATAGGTTAGTGGATATTCTTACACTGCCACTACACGGTAGCCGCAATCCAGCGTTATTTTATTTTCGTGTACATCGCCGCCATGATCTCTTGTCATAAAAGCAAAAAACCGGAAAATCACTTCATTTTGACTTGAGTTACGTAGTACTATTATTTATTCTGTGCTTGAGTTAACTTCATTATACCTAAACTGTTCTCGATTGATTTGAATTTTTGCTGTGATCATCGATTCTTTTAAAATAGTAGCAGTCGTTCTTCGTTTTAAGTTTATTATTTTAATTATTGTTGGTAGTAAATGATTTAAATAAATTTTCGTAATGAATTCGCTTACGAGAGTCAAATTTATTTATCACTTGCAGTACCTTCTTTAACACTCGTATCACAACTTTCATTCTCTAATTACACTTCTTGTGCTATTATTTACACTGTGCTTATTATACTTCATGATCCCAAAGCCTATTTTTCACGAATGTTCCCGAACACTACCATAAGCATAAGTCACCGCGGTAGGGTAAGTAGTAAATGTGATTTATATATTCTTCTTCTTTCTGCTAGTCGGTTTCTTCTGACCTTGCTCCATCCGCCATAAGTTCCGTGATGAAGTTTTCGAAATTTCGTAAATTATCAAGGGCGTATAAACCTCGAAATTTCAATTCGAGTAATTTCTTTCTTAACGCTAGTTGATTTGCAAGATATTTACAAACATAAAGAGCATTCTAAATTTTTTATAATTTCTTTAGCGGTATTTTCTTTTTTTGCAAGGAATCGGCTAGTTAATCTACTATAATACTTAAGCAATTCGATTATTTTTCTGACACTCTACATCGCATCGTTTGATCCTACTCGTCTTTTACTTTTATAAAGTTCATTTCTCCATCAAAAGGTTTTATATTTATTTTAATTTTCAAATTGTCCATTTCTATAATTTTATATAAAGTTAGTTATATTTTTATGTTTAAATTTTATCTTACGATACAAGCTGTTGAAAATCTTGTGATGTCTAACAGTAAAACACTTTTATATAGACACTTATTTTTATTTAAACTTTATATTCACTGATGGTAAGGTAAAAGTCTGTAATACAGTATTCAACAAGTGAAGCTAGGATTAGTTGCAGCGCTGTGTTTATATTTGTTTTATTCGTGATGTCAATTGAAAGATTTAGGTAAAAGATACATTTTTGGTAATTTAAATTAAATCCAGTAGTTTAATTAAAGAAATTCAACAGATCCATCATTATCATTACATCCCTTTCAAGTCCGCTTTTGAACATAACACCTAAGGAGCCACCAGCATCCGTCGACATCTAGTGAGGGGCCGCCCTTCGTCTACCGGTACGAGGCTGACATTCGAGAACCTTTTTCCCTCATCGATTGTCGGTTCTTCAGGCTATATGGCCCGTCCATTGCCACTCAGCTTAGTAATCCGTTTTGCTATGTCGGTTACTCTAATTCTGATAGATCTGCAGTAGCAGATCTTCGAATTTTATCACTCCAAGCATAACACACATCATAGTTCGGTGAGCGACCTTGAACTTCATCATACGGTTAGCGTTTAAAGACCACATCTTTGATTCATATGTCATTATTATCGCTGGCTCGTACTGGCTGTACCTATACACTTCTTTCAAGCTTTGAGGAATACGTGTCGCAATTTGTCAAAGTACATCCAACCGAGTTGAATCTGTCAATTGACTTGAAAATGACTCTCGGAACGAATGTCGGAGAACAACTTCAAACGTAGCACTCCCAAAAACTACCTACCGGCATTTGTGTGACATGGTAGTTTGTCTAGTTCCATGTACATTTTCACACCAATCACCAATCCATTGGTGGACACCATTGAGAATAATGCTGTCTTCCAGCGATTCTGCTATAAAGATTGTATCCTAAACAAATTGAAGGTGAATTATATATTCATCGTTGATATTTTTACCATCTCCTAGATTGGCAACGACTTTCAATGCAGCGCTAAAGTTTCGAGGATATAACGTCAACCTCTCTTATCTCTGTATCTGCCATTGGACAGGTTTCGTATTTTGGTTCTGTACTGATAGACAATCTAGTACCGCCAAAGGGACTGTAATATCGATCAAACTTCGACGAGATCTTAGGATTTCTTACACAGTCCCTAAGACTGTACGTGAGATTACTCTTCAGTCTTCTGTACATTTTTTTGGATTTGTATGTACTAAACTGGTTAGCTTCGAGTGTAGACTTATGGCACCCAGTCCCTTGTTGTTGTATTGAGTGAATTTAGAAATAATATGACAAATTCTGCCATCCATTCTTTACTATTTGGCAAAAAGGCACAGGGAATGTTTTCACTGTTTACTTAAAATTCCACAATACGAAAGAAGCATTGCGCAAACATCAAGGACACAATGTATCTTCAAAAGACACACTTCTTTCAGACATACTTTTTTATTTATAAAAATAAGATTGACAAAAAGGCTAGCCCACCTGATGTTAAGTAAAGTGCTGTGTTTCATTATTGGAGTGTAAAATTTAAAACAAAAGAAAAATATTTCCAATGGAGGTGTTTCGTACCAAAGGCACCTGTAATTTTTTCTTTTTCGCTTAGAACGTGAATAAACATGGACAAAATATCTAATTTTCCTAATAATATTCAACCTTATTCCGTTCTTGTAAGGTTCATCTTTTAATACATTTTGAATAAAAAATGCTGCGACAGTGTTGTGACCGGACCGATATTAAAATTATCGACAACATTTTATCTCCGTTCTGTTTATCCACTAACATGTTAACGAAAATGTGCTAATGTGTGTAACACTGGATGTCTATAAAATATACGAAACTACAGGGCGATATACTATAAGTTAAAATTTTTGTTAGGGCTGCGAATCTTCGTCTACAGAATCTACGATAATAATTGTTATGTTTGTCCTCCGATCTCCATATCCACGTGTTTGTTGGAAACGCAATATTTATTTATGATGTTAGTATGGAATAAATAAGTTTAATGCGATCTTACTTCCAATTTTTGAGGTGTTGGTTTCGGCACATCAATAAATTTTGGTTTTCTAATGGCACCACGTAGTTCTATCTCTGCCTTTTCTTCGGTTTTATCTTCTGTTTTCTTTTCAACATTCTCTTCTTTCTTGTCAAACCTTTGTAATTTCGTTATTAGAGTTTTTTTCTCAGTCACGACGTGTTCTGGTGGTACGGTAACAGTTTCATCTGAACTTTCATATTCCTTCAGTTGAAGTCTGGAACAGAAGATATTCATTTAAAAAAATATTAGGGAAAATTGAATAGATAGACACACGTGAATTATTTTTTTAGGATTGATTGCATGAATTAAATGAAAGATAACAGCACGTTATTTGCATATTTTACATAAACCGAAAAGACAAAAGGTTTTGTTATGAATATATTTAACAGAATCCACGCTGGGAAAATTATTATAACAGTTAAAATATAATTATGTAAATGAAAGCTGTACGATTTTAACAATAAAATAGTATTCTAATCCAAATACTTTTAGCAATAACATTCAATTTACCCGAAGACATTATAACTGTTTATGTTTTTTATATAGGATAGGGTTACAAACGAGCACACAGTCCACCTGATGGTAAGTGGTTGCTGCGGCCCATAGACATCTACATCTATCCTCGATTACAAATCAAAATGCTGATGCGTTGTCACCCGTGAGGACTAAGATTAAATGCCTCGTTTCCAGTAAAAAAGGTCTCCGGTTCTGTACACTCACCATACGAAGCTCAGCAGCATTAAGCTACTATTTTACGCAGGTATTCTGTGAGAAGGTAGTCCTTCCCTGGTCGAGCCGATCCATTATTAGAGGATAAATGTAGATGTCTATGGCACACTGCATCCACTTACAATCAGGTGGACTGTGTGCTCCTTTGTCACCCTTATTCTATAAAAAAAAGATGCTGCTGCTCATCACATGTTTTGATTTCCCTCTGTCGCCTCATTACGACACCCATGGGACGATATGGGGTAGTGGATATTCTTACACCGCCACTACACGGTTAACGGTGGTGAACGGTGCTAGTGTCAAATATAAAAAAAATGAATCTTGAACTCATGGTTTTTAATATACCTAAGCTTGTCATTGTTTGTTCATTCAATTAAATAATGAAAAATATTACATTTTCTACAGACGAAATTATGCCTCCGTTTGATAAAGAGTAAGAAGTCCCTTACTGGCCATGGCTATCACCTGAGAAGGCCAGGAGCATGGGAAGCAAGACATGACAGCAAGTCACGCGGGAAACGCTACGTGGGCGTTGTTGAAGAGTGTCGCTTCAAAGCTTATAGTGTAGATGAATACTCTCATATTATTATAGATATATGATTTATTATCTGTATCGTCTATGGTTTATAAACATAACCCATCATAAATGTGATCTGTATTTTTGTCTAAAAGTTTATTTAAAAATTATGATAATTTTTGTATTTTACTACGTATATACCAACATACTTATTGAAAAAAAAACTATTATATATCTCTGTAAATAGTTAAATGTATACAATATCAAGTACTTTTATAAAATATTAAATTTAAATCGATTCATCCGTTTAGGAGCTACGATTCCACAAACACACACATACACACACACACACACACACACACACACACACGCACACACACGCACGCGCACGCACGCACACCCCCCCCCCCCCCCCCCCTCCACACACCCATTTTTTGTTTGTGCGCTTATGTCAGTGTCAAGTAAATGTCCTTCAGACTGAATTTTGGTCACGGCGGCCAGTCTTAACGACGACTAGCCATCTACGCAGTACATGATTATAGGGCCCGAGTGTATGCGCAAGCACATGCAATGATAAAACACGCATAACAATCCGACGGTAATCAAGTTCCCACCAAAACTTCAAATATGCTGTTTTAAAACTGTTTGTAACTGACAAATTATACGTCTTACTTTTTTATTTCTGTCATTACATCGTCATGGTCCTGCCAATCTTCGTCTCCTTCACTACGTGTCGTATCCAATTTTTCAGAATCCGAAGTAAATAGATTAGGCATAACTCCATAACGCCTTTCTATAAGCTCCAAGGCCTAATTAAGAGATAGAATAAACTTAAATTATTATAAGTATATATTGACGCGGAAATAGAGCAGGAAGTGGTTTCCGATATCTCAGACCAATTGCAAATAAGTAGAGTTTCTAGCTTTCGTTTTAGTATCTACCTGTAACTGAAGCTCAACATTCTTATGCGTCATCATTTTAACGAACATATCGTAGTCATTTGCAGCCCAGATTTGTTCAAACAATCGCTTATGAAAGTATGCGGGTAGTTCTGCTAGGTCATTCGCGGATAAGTGGCAGGCTGCTTCGAATTGGTCGGCGGTGATGCCTATGTCATCCATAAATGATCCCAGCATAACATCCACCTGCAAAGATCACAAATATTCAAAGTAAAGATTAAAAGAAAACTTATGATACTAATTTATTATACAATTTAAGAATTATTTCATATAGAAAACTATTATTTACCAAATCCCGATACTCATCGTGGATTTTCTTATATTCTGGTCTGTCAAGAACTTCCCCCGTATCTGTCGGCTCAAACGCTAAAAAAAAATAACCGTATCCTAGTTTATTATTATTGAAAACACATTCTTGATTTACTGTACTCATGATATAGAACGGATATTTAGAATCGAAGTAAAGTCTTTGACAAGAACTTAAAGAACATACGTAAAGACTTTTCTTCCATAAATGTCTGTAATGGTACATTCCACACAGGTCCATGAAGAAATCCAACCAGGGAATCAAATACCCAAGCATTGTTATCTGGGTCGTTCATGATCAAAATTGTTATATTAAAAGCTTATAATCGATCGACTGCACTGTTAAATTGAAAATGCGAAGTTAAAAAGATTATTTAGTACAATCTCTTGACATTTATATTGGTTTTGTTCTTTATTTGTATCCACTGTTGTTATGGAAACGTTAGTTGGAACTTTCGGTAGAGAGTTGTGTTCTGTGAATATGGGCCACCGTCGCACCAGAGGGATGTAGTCATAGCTTTCCGTATATACTACTATACTCTTTGGTCATAGCGTTTTTTTCTATAAAGAACTATCTGTCATTTTTTGCGGGGGGAATCTGCGCACATTGAAACAGTCGTCTGTCACTACGAAACCCAAACATAACAATTTGGTAAAATCTTAATATATATAAATTACGTGTCACGTTGTTTGTCCGCGATGGACTCCTAAACTACTTAACCGATTTTAATCAAATTTGCACACCGTGTGCAGTTTGGACCTACTTGAGAGATAGGATAGTTTTTTTGCCCATGAGTGACCCACAATTTTTTTTGCGAATTTAAGGATTTTTAATAGGACATGACAGGGTCGTCGAAAAGGGCAGAACAACGTCTGCCTGGCAGGCTTGTAATATACTAAAAAATTCATACACATACACATTAACATTATCGCTCGGTGATAGCGACAATTTGGATATAGACTCTTAGCAGTCGATCTAACTGTACCGATCCGCATACTGTATAAGCCTTAGAGTAATTACATACATACGTAAGTGGCCTAGCAGCTTGTGTTTGCAAACAAATCCGAAACAACACGAGCGTTATTTGTTATTGTAATTTCTAAGTTTGAAAAGAAGTGAATAGTATTAAATGTGATTAAAAATTATTTATATACGAAAGGTAATACCATCTTTTTGTAAATTTGACGTGGCAGATCTCTATTTGCAGCAAAAAACTGAATAATCCGGCATTTTTTAAAACGTTGATTCTGCCGCGCAACTACATTTAATCTAGTGAGGAGTGCGGCAGCAACTATTTTTATTGTACGTACAGGACTGCGTCACGGTAATAATATCTATAGATAAAATTACCGTGACTGCGTGGACTTGTACTTTGACAGAGGGGAACCCCTGCGTATAGCTACTCCCCTCCGGTCCGCGGGTGGACCGTGATGCTCTATGTCATGAGGTTTTTGTATAGAGAGAGTTTATGGGTGGGAGAGTGACTTAGGCTACTTTTTATCCATGGAAAAATGGACGTATCTAGTTTGATTGCGGTGCAAAAATGTCTGAATCGAAAATACAAATCCTTTTGGATTTAAATTTAATTTAAATTCCGTGTTTGGGTATGCATAAAATAATGTCACCATCATACATGCTAACAACTAATACTGAGTTTCGTAATGGTTCCTTCCCAGCTGTGGGATGCATATCAAATATGATGTACATGGAAAAAATGATTACTGAATGTAAATAGAACCGTGGTAGCTTAGGTGCTAATAGCTGACACCTTGTTGGAAACTTGAAAAGGCCTCTGTCTACTCGTACTACTATACCTGTATCGATGAATTTCCGTGTACTATTTTATTTTGCATGAAACAGTTTATAATTCTCAAATAAAAAAATTAAGAGCCCTAGTAGCTCAAGAACAAACCGCTTGCTGTAAATTCCACATTACACGAGCAATACGGGTTTAATCCCGTCATCACCAAACATATTGTTAATTTCAATTTCAAAATCAGCGGTAAAGTAAAACATTGTGAGGAAACCTACACGTATGAGAAATTAAAAAAAAGGAATACTTTAAGTTCGCCAACACACATTGGTGCAGCACGGCAGACAGTCCCTTGTACTAAAAGTACCCTCCCAGAAATAAGAGGAGGCTAGTCCCCAGCAGTGGCACTTATATTGTTTATAGCTTATATTTTGCTTAAATTTTATGAAAAGCTAAATTTGTGTGATAAAACATATGCCTCACCCATAGATTGTCTCTTAGTGGAGCTTTTTCCCTAGTTTCCACACTTGGCGGGCGGGTTGGCAACTGCAGTTTTTTATTATTTTGGGTTATTATCAGAAAGAAGCTGCTGTCCATCTCCTGCATCAGTTTCTTTCTGTCGCCATATCCGGTGCAGGTATAGTAAGTACCATACCCACGGGATGATATAGGGTTGTGGATATTCTTACAATACCACTATTACTATACTGTTCTAAATTACACACATCCATCTATCTGGTTCACAAAACTATCAAGTAACAACCAGAATAAAATTTAGCAAATTACAATCGATTTTTTCCAAATATTTAATATAAAAAGAATCATCAGAGTCGATTCAAAATTGGTGAATACGTCGCGCAGCATTCATACAAAAAACACAATAAAGCCAAATTAGAATTTAAAAGAAGTCAAGTCGAAGTCTCTTTTTTGAACGACTAAAAAGATAAGTCAGAATTTGTTGAAATCGTAGACTTAGAATTGTTTTTATAGGATAAGGGTGCCAAACGAGCACACAGTCCATCTGATGGTAAGTGGTTGCTGTGGCCTATAGCCACCTACATCTATCCTAGATTATGAATCAAAATGCAGATGCGTTGTGACCGGAGAGGACTAAGATGGAATCACTCTTTTCCAGTAAAACGAGTCTCCGGTTCTTTACACTCACCATACGAAACACAGCAGTCTTTAGCTGCTATTTTACGCTGGTATTATGTGAGAGTGTGGCCCTACCCCTGTCAAGCCGACCCATTTGTGCTACAACTATACTACTAATATAACTGCAGCGTGGCTCTATCACGTAAGAATAAAAATATTAACAAAAGTAAATAAAAACTGGCGTATAGACGACCTGATAGCCCGAAAACGATGTGACAAATTATGATTTGTCAGTGTGTGTGTTAACTAGTGTTGTATATTATACTTATGAGGACCTTCGATAAATGATTTCAGTGCGACTATAATACTGCAATTGGAAGTGCTAAAGTAACGGTAAAAGCTTCAACAATGTCAGTTTAGTACACAAAACTGAATAACTTCGAAAGTTCCCAAATAAATAATTATAATATTTTATTTATTTATTCAAAAAACGTGTTAGCGTGGATAAGTTGAAGCTGCCTGCCTTTTATTGGATTTACATATAAAATGTATAAAATCTCAATAATCTCTGGAGAGATTATATATAAAATTTTATTTTATTTTCATCAAGATATAGATCAGAAAGTTGTATTTTTGAGCCATGAATATTGGAGAAAAATGTTTACCATTATGAACAGTGTTTTGTCCACGCGTGTATGTACTTTAAGGGAGCACCAGTAAAACACTGAGTCGAGACGGCCGATTGACAACATCCGCTCGCACTGGCGTTTCGTGTGGAAGTGATGAGTAGACATTGTCAATCGTGAAAGATTCGTTTGTTTAAGCTGGTACACATAAAGTATTGATGGTTCATTCATCTGTTTTTGAATGTTCCGGTACAAACAAACACAAACAATTAACGGAAACTTTTTAACTCGTGATTGGTGTGAATTGTGAATGAGTCGAAAACCGACTGAATCACGAATGATCTTAATGAATTGTTTTTAGTGTAGGGTACACAATGCAATGCCTGCATCGGAAAGTGTTGACAAGTTAAGCGATTTTTAGCTATTTAGGCTAGCTCTAAAGTAAACGGAGCTACCAAAATTGTAATTTTAATTAAAAAAGAAGGTAATTGTAAAGGATATTCTATGAATCTTTTATTAGAAAATCCCATCAAAAACATAAATGTGAAATGAGAGCCAAGTTCAATATTATGATATATGCCTTGGTTGTTGACTTCAACGACAAAAGAAGTGGGATCTAAATGGGAGCCAAGTTCAATGGTCAGCCCTGAAATTTATTTATAACAACATAAAATATCGTTTTTTCTAATAACTTAGGATAATATATTGTAGCCTAAGGTCTGACTTGGCTAGTTCTCATATACGAATTATCATGTTCGATGGCTAGCTTTTACCAGCAAGCCAAATTTACGGAAAAATAAAATAAGAACCGACAAGTAACAGGTTTAGAACTTGAGAAGGCTATAATATAATTCGTATATGAAAACTAGCCAAGTCAGATCTTGTCTGACCACTGTTTATACTCAATTTGGCCAACTCGGGGCGGTATAACGTGTGCAAACGGTTGTACTCTACAATAGAGCTCTCTTGTGACTTGATTTGACTTGGATCTAAATTGATAAGATGTGTGTATCTAAGGTTTTAGCTCAAGAGAGTCCAACGTAAGCCTGCCGTTTACTAAATATAGAGGAGCCTATGTCGAGAAGAGCACTGTCAAGGCTAAGGCCTTGTGATTTGTGGATAGTAATAACATATGCTAAGGAAATAGAGAATTTTTCCATGTGAACATATACATTACTTAATATCTGAAACGGCGATCGCATGGAATAGGCAGCTTCCACCGGGAGGCATTCGAATAATTCGGTGTAATGTAAGTGTGTCACCCACCCGTAATTCTATTGTACGACGCATTGTACAATAAACGTAATAAAAGGTTAATTATTTAAGACGATTACATAACGAATTACCTGTTATCTATTAAATTCTCAAGAAAATTTGTTACCATACCAATAAAGTCTCATTCTCACTCATTCAGAGTTAGGTATACATACCTACTTATAACTATACTAAAATTATTATTAATTTTTGATTTAAACTATTTCCTATAACATCTAGACACGCGGTGCGTACTTACTAAAAGAATTGTAATAATTTAACCACAAATATGTAAGTATTTTAAAGAAAAATTTCGTAGCATAAATCGCCACCTCATAGGTCAGATATCGAGAGACAACCGGACAGTAAAACGGCGCTCGCGTTTATGAGCGCTGCTTGCTGCCACTTAAAGCGGGCTACATACGACATGATATCGGTGGCGATCTAGGGTGGAGTAGTGGGGATGCCTCCTAGATTGCCTCTAAATCGTGTCGTATTTAGGGTCATCCTAAGTCGTGGCCGATATCGCCTCCTTAATCGGCTGGCAGGAGCAAAAATGCAGCCGATGGTTCCTAGATCGAGGCCCCGCCCCCTTCATACTGCGTGTGTGTAGGCACATCGGCCCGATTTCTTTTGGCAGTCGCTGCCGGCAACCCTCGTGGAAGGACGTTAACGAAAACAGTGATACTGAATGACCTTTTTTACATAACAAAATTTTTTAAACATGTGAACGGAGTAGAAGCCTATGATATTTAACAAAAAACAAAAAAAAAATTGAATAAATAAATTAATTAAAATCTATCGAAATTCAAATCATATCCACCCTAGCCTGTGACCTTGCGAAGTCAAGAATGCCTACTAAACTAATTGTTTTATTGCCGTTCATAAAGTAGGGCGTATGAAGTAAGTAAGGAGAGGATAAAGCCTCTCCTCAACAACTAACTCCTATCTCCAACGCTATCAACACAAGACCGCACTCATATCTCTTACGTGCCTTCATCCTCTCATCAACAACAAACTCCTACTCCTTCACCATCTCCATATCAACAAACAAGCTATATGGAAGGGAGTATGTCCGAAATTAAAGGTTTCTTTATTTAAAAAAAAAGATATAAGGTAATTTATTTTTTGATAGTTTTAATCCATAAATAAAGATTACATTAAAGAAAAGTGTACATATTATTATACAAAAGTCTTTTATTTCTTTGTTTGTTGTGCGTAGTACATAACCCAATTTTGACCAAAGCAGAAATGAACAAAGAGAAGCAATAACTAAATAGCATAGGTAGGAGAAATTGATGTTTTTATATAAGTTGCGAAATCATAAATATAGAAAAATTCTAGAAGGTTGTAAAAACTGTTTTCATCCATCCGGAGAAAATTAATCATGTCTTTGGATTACAGACCATTTAATACGTTTATGTAACTTAATTTTTGTCTCTTTTGGAGCCATTTTTTCACCCAGCAACTCCTCTTTTTCTATTTTCGAATAAATTAACCGAGATGGCTAATTCCAAACCAACACGTTGGTATTTTAAGAGAGTCGGAGGCATTTTTAAGAACTCTACCGCATATGCGTTCCGCTCCAAGTCCAAACGCTTATTGCTAGGCAGGCCCGTGTGTTGGTCTGCCTCGATAAAAGCCCCGATTTCTTTCCACCCTAGATCGCCACCGATATCGTGTCGTATGTAGCCCGCTTTACTCGGACCTCGGACAAGTTCGCGTCAAGGTTTTATCGCACCGCTCCCACCCCGCTCCTAACGGCGTACCGCGCGCTGTGTACATGTTCCTAATAGAATCAATGAAGTGATGATAAAAATTTATCAGTTTCTGATTTATTCCTTTGTATTCACCCAATTACCTATTATGCATGCCAAATTTGAACTTTCTAGGTCATCTGGAACTGGGTTAGAGTTTTGGTCAGTCAGTGATAAAAATGACGATTTTTAGACGTTAATATCTAAATAACCGTTTGAGATCTGTTTACGAAATTAAAAATTGAAGTACATATATATTGCAAGTTTCAATATATGTGCCAAATTTGAAACGGTTATGTGAAATAGTTTTTGAGTTATGAGGGGGTCAAAAGTGGCTCCAAATGGTTCGTGTAATATTACACACGGTGCGGCTCGCCGTTCTGCTTGAACTTGGCTTGACACGCTACCGCGTGTCTAGATAATAAAATGTAGATTTTGCAACTGGCTTCTTTAGTAATTCTTTTATTCAATTGTAGTCTTCTTTTACGCTTACAATCCTTATTACATATAACTACTAACTAAAGGCTACATGAGCTTAAATTAAGGCATTTTCTTAAAATATTACTTACAAAATTGGGTGACTTTTTAAGATCTACAATTTTTATTCTGCGTCAAATTTTTGGCGACTTGGATTCGGCTAGACTAGGTAACACTACACTCTACACTAGTCAGGTCACCACAGTGAATGAACAATTATGAATTATAAGTATGTAGAAGTCAAAGTTATAGATCTCTGGATTCTCTGGTCTGCACTTCGTCTCTCCTCCTCACTCTCAAAATTTTGATGATGATGAAGTGTACTAGTAGATGGAGGATAGAATTAATTTAAATTACTCTTCATAATGATGAACATTTGTTTGTTGTGTTCCGCTTTGCGAAAATTATTATATTTCATCGTTTTACAAAGTCTGATATAAGACTTTAGTGGGTGAAAAATATAAATTTTGCAAGATTGAAGTAGCTCAGTTCAGTGGAGCTGCAAACTGAAAAAGTTCTTTATGTGTCATAAGCTCATAAGAAAGCACTTTATTTTGATCAAGGAGCTACACCCGCACTAATATTAAAAATATAGTAGATAAAGTGATAGTCTTTTGGTATTGGATCAAGAAAAAAAATACGTCAGAATTAAACATTTCTTAGTTTCACAAATTTTAAACATTATTTTGGTGTTGTTAACACTTTTTAGGAAATATTTTTATTAGAAATTATTTTTATCAACATATTAACATATTAATAAAATTTTCATTTATTGCGCTGTTTTACATAGAAAAGAACGATTATGATGTATATATTATATCCTCTTACAAACATATTTAAAAGTGCATATCAATTTCATAAAATGTTATCAATTGAATTTTCAACATTACTTTCATCAGTTTTATGTATCTGAGCGTCTCATCCTAAAAATGTTTAACGTGCCTAAAGGTAAAATTACTGTTCTTGCAAAGTGCTTAAACGACCTAATCAATAAGCTGTATTCTATCATCAGTCAGCTGTCAGTCCCAAATGTCATTGAATTTTGAAATGGTGAATCAAAATATTTTGTTATTGAATTATGTTAGTAAATAACTAGTATAAAATGACGGAAATAGAAAAGATTTTTGATTGCGAAAATGTGAATGGTGTCAATTTATCACTTAAAATTAAAAGTCGGTATAGTACACCCAATTCAATGAGTTTTACGATTTCTTTTAAAAATAAAGAAAGTAAATCGCATTGGCACAAAAAATCTCTAATATTGGCAATAATATTTAATATTTTATCTTTAATTTATATAAGAATAAGTGTGACAGCAATACTAATTATCGTAATTGTTTTATCATTTCTAATTTTTTTTTGGATTACACATAGTGTTCAATCAGGTTAGTTCTTCTTTAAGTCATAATTATTATTCCGATGCCATTCATATTCCAGTGTATTTACACGTTTCTATGGTTATGAGCAATAATTTATATGATCTATTTACAAAATATGTTACCAAATGTGGCAACTGGCAAGTATCCACCTTATAAGGCTAGGCAAGAGACCTATGTTCAGCTGTAGACTTTGGATCGGCAGCTATTAATGAATGAATGAAAATCTCAACATGGTAAATCCACAGAAAACACCAAAGATTATATTATACAGTGGAATCTTGATAACTCGAATTTCAGGTTAATTTATATATTATAATAAATTTCGAGTTAATGAGTTTTTGACTGCAAGAATTTCGAGATACAAAGGATTTAATTACAAAAATTCCGACTAGACATGGAACGAGTAGTAATTCGCCGAGTACTTAGCCTAGATTGGGCTGAATAATCGGCTTTAAAAAAAAACGATAGAGGGCGACACACAGTTATTTCCTTACACAGAGTTAGGAATGAAAAGATATGAGTAAATACAAGTACTTACTCAATACTTTTAGTATATGAAGCAAAAAGGAACAAACTAGACCCAAATAGGGCATAAAACTAGTGTTTTTGCAACACAATCTTCCCCTCTTAAATTTTAAATATTAGTAATATTAATTTTTATTATGAATTCCTATGTATGTTTTCAATATTTCTGCTGTTTCTCATGTTCTTGATGTATTAATGTGTCTAATATATTAATAATGATAAAAAATGGCTTTTTGTCTTTATTTTTCTCTAGAATATAATTAAGGCCGAGTACTCGGTATTCAACCGTTAATACTCAGTGCTCGGACGAACCCTAAAATAAAGCCGAATCCGTAGAGTACCGAATACAAACCGAGTACTCGTCCCATGTCTAATTTTGATGTTTTTTCTTTAATTTAGATTTATGTCTTAAAAAGGTGCAATTTTTAAGCAATATTTCAAATTGTAGGATCATAGTTATATAAAAATTCTTAAAAACAAGTTTTATATGTATATTATGGTACATATATATGGTACATTGTTGCATAATGTATATTTATTTTTATGCATTGATAAGGTAAAATTTTTCATGTAGTGTTATAGTTGCTAGTTTCAGTTTAGATGTTGTGATGTTTCTAGGTAACAGCTAAGTATAAATAAAGTTCTTTTTAAGCAATAAGGAATAAACAAACATAAGGTACACATATGTGTTACTTAAAATTTTTAATGAATGTATTCATTCATTGCATGTGCACAATAAAATAAAGTTAAAAAAAAAAGAAGAATAAAACAAAAGTGACAAAAATATTTCTTTGAAATTTTATTACAGCAATAAAATTTAAAAGAAATATTTTTGTCTTCAGAGAATTCAGAGAAGACTTCAGAGAATTCCATGTCAATTGTCCAATCCACTGTTATTATATTTTAATAACTGATTTATGGAGTCTATTTTGGGTTAAAGTCTGTCTTTTGATGTGTAAATATCAAAAGAGACAAGATTTTACCTTCCAGGGAAATAACATTTTATTCGAGTTACAAAGGCTAAATAATTACAGATATTGCATACTTAGGGGTTCAGCAGAAGGGAATGGCAATTTTTTTCAACTTACTGAGGATTACAACTTAATGAAGTTCGAGTTATCAAGATTCCACTGTATTTATAACTGAAATAATGATAAACAAGCTGAAATGAATTGTAAAGTTTTGTACACTTTTGTATTGATGTAGTTAGTGAAACGTTTTAGTATTGTTGTAGCTTATTAAGGCAAGAGTAAAAAGTCTATCAAAATATGGTATAACTGAAACTTATAATTATTACATTTTAACAAATATAACTTGAAATGACAATAATATCATTTAAAACATATGAATCTCAGTAATGGTTTTTTATATGGCCTGCTAAATTTCACGAACTGATAATATGGATTTTTAATAGTATTATAATATTGTTATGAATACGGGAAGAAAAAACAAATATCAATGAAGTTAGGATGTAACTAGCAATGCCCATTTAATCAAGCAGTATAATAAAGTATGCTGCATGTGACTTATCTTGGATCAGTCATTTTAATGAATCTTAATTGGTACTAAAAAAAATTCCATAATGGACAGAATTACAATATTCTGTCCATTATGGTAATTATTTTAGTACAAGCAAATATGGTTATGTTGCACGCTGTGACACAGTCACATGATGATTGGTAGTGGTGTTGTTGACCTGCTTACTTCACATATTTTGGTATTATCTTGTATTTACTTCTTACTGCATACTGTGTTCTGTGAATGTTTAATAATGTTAGGCGCTACTAGGATATGTCTTTTTTTTAAATACTTCTAACCACTGAAATAAACTACCAATTAAATAGTTAACCATCAATAGTAGGACAACACTGATTATTTGATTTACCATATATTCAGTTGTGAAGGAAAACATCATAAAAAAGCTACATATCTCAGAAATAAAATTTAAATGATTTCTGGAGAGTTGCTCTTTACCATGGCTAAGTAATTAGGAGATCCTTGCATTGGTAATAGTGCCGCCCATAGTCAGACTGTGGGTCTAAAGTTGAGTATTTTTGTATGGATTTTCCACCAACAGTTGGTTGTCAGAGCCTTGTTTGTTAGCAAGGTGTACCACTTATAGGATGATTGCTTTTACCCTCGTTTTTGTAAAGGCTAATCTGGCAGTGGATAAATAAAACTGTTAATTAGAAAGAAAAAGCTGAATATTTTCTTCGATATTTTCTTTAAGTCTTCTTAATATTTTCAGAGACAATTCTAGTGATACCAAATGTGGGAATACAAAATTCTATTAAATATGTTTTTGGCCAAGAAGACATTTTTGTGCCATGGTCAAGCGTTGATGATGTTATTATAAATGAAGTCATTAAATTGGTAAGAGACTGTTTGTTGTTTAGTCTTACATTTATTTACTATTTTGAATCCAGCTCTCTTAAAATCTGCATTGCATTTAATTTACCCGACGATAAAGTAAATATGGAGAATTCTCTCTGCCAATATACATGCAATCTACTTTTTTGTAGTTTGTTACTTCTCAGAAATGAGAAAAGCCTATGTTCTGCCCAATTTAAAATGCAAAGAGGTAACATTTAAGATTTTGCAGATATTTGTTATTTATCTTTATCTTAATATATATAAATTATGTGTCTCATTGTTTGTGCGCGATGGACTTCTAAACTACTTAACTGACTTTAATCAAATTTGCACACCGTGTGCAGTTTGGTCCAGCTTGAGAGATAGGATAGTTTTTTTTGCCCATGAGTGACCAACAATTTTTTTTTGCGAATTTAAGGATTTTTATTAGGACGTGATAAAGGGTCGTCAAAAAGAGCAGAACAACGTCTGCCTGGCAAGCTAGTATCATAAACTATGTGTCACATTGTTTGTCCGCAATGGACTCCTAAACTACTTAACCGACTTTAATCAAAGAAGTATGCCCACTTTCCATACATTGATTGACCTGTCATTTGATTCTTTTTACAGGTCACGTCTACCTACAACTACTGTTGCATAAAATCAATTATCGTTTATAATAACATAATAACTTATCACCTTTATATTTAGAGGCCAGGGAAAAATGCTATAAAGTAAATAAATTTTACAGATTATAAGCTGTCAACTGTACACTATGGTATACTATGGCGTGGAAAGAAAAATAACTTCCACACCATAGTATAAAACCACAAAAAAGCATATCTGATCATAAAATAATAAGATAAGTAACTAAAAACAATTGGTTATTTTGAACGTTCATAAACCACATGACAAATTAATAAGATTTTCGTAGTCTGTGAAACGAAATGCGTAAAACACTTTTTTTTTAAATATACATTGTCATGGCTTCTGGGCTTTTAAGTCATTTTTAAACGCGTTCCTTCTCCAAAAGTCTATTGAGAACGATAAACATATTAACATTACTTTTTTTCCTGGCTTTATTGAAAAATTCTATTATGCGATACGAAGTAAGCAAAATAAAGGCAATTTTATAAGATATTTTACATTACTAGACGCGTTAGAAAATTTTCAGGTCAAAATTGGACGTGATTCTTTGCACACCGTGTGCAGTTTGGTCCAGCTTGAGAGATAGGATAGTTTTTTTTGCCCATGAGTGACTAACAATTTTTTTTTTGCGAATTTAAGGATTTTTAATAGGACATGGCAAAGGGTCGTCGAAAAGAACAGAACAACGTCTGCCTGGCAAGCTAGTATAGTGTATTAATTTATTCTCCATGAATCCTATAATACATAGAATACATTAGTAGTCAAATAAAAATATATCGAATTTGAAGTATAATTTACTGCTTGCAAACTCAAATATTATGTCATATAAATGAAGCAGTGAAGTCTGTCTATTCCCAATGCACTTTGGTGATCTTAAAGCTCCAATGCACTAACTTTAGTAGTGTCTCCTGAGGAAAATATAATAAACTAAAACTTTTGTATTTCTAAGTAAGTTGTTTGAAGTAAAAACTTCTGAATCGTTGTGATTTCAAACAAAATTAAATGAAAAAGAGACTAATATATACCTATAGGAATTAGCCTGCGAGAGAATGAGATAGAAAATTATATAAAATTGGTCATGTTTACTTCAATTTTTGTTCGATAAAATGACATATAAAATGAAGTAGATGGCGCTATTGCAAAGCAATTTTACTCGAAAGAAAGTATTGTTTCGATTTATAAAATAAAATTTATAATATATTACATTAATAAAGACGAGAGTTTGTAGCAAAAAATAAAATATGTCTTAATTTAGTTGTAGATAATTAGTAATTTAGTTGTGTAACGTGGTAGAGCCATGCTGCAGTTATATTAATTGTATAGTTGTAGCACGAATGGGTCCAACCATGGTCCAATGGAATGGTTAAGAGACACAAATGGACCCGGTAGGTGGAGTTATTGTCAAGATCCAGAAATCAACCATGCGAAGCCAGGGTGGATCGCTTTTCAATATATAAATCTATTACAAAGTTACCTACAAGAAGATTGTGGCCACATAGTTCTAGCATGCTTGTTTTTCTTATATATTTCCCACTAACAAAATTAGTGAGTTGAATGGGAAAATGAAGGACATTCAGAAGGAAGTAACACAGGAATGGGGGAGATCTAATTACTGTGAACTGTTTATTGTTATGAATGATGACGTTAACAAAGATTGTATATTTTTTATTTACGATAACTATAATTTTTAAATAATTTATACATTATTTTTTCCAGAATAGAGTTTTGTACTATCTTACACTTCTTGTTAAAACTGGAACAACTCAAGCAAATCAAGAGTCTGAAGGCATTAAGTTGATACCATTATTCAAGGTAAATTTTTCGGTATTATACATATTACTTAGCTAGCATCTCCTTTATCAGCATGTAAAAGCCAACGGCTGGTCACGGGCCTCTCTTGGACATGGACTTTTGCCATAAATAAGATGTCTAAAGAGAAAGAGTAAATGTTTCTATTATATTAAGATCGTTAAGTATTCTTCATATAATGGAAATGCTATTCGGTAGCGATGTTCTTTTGCCGATTTTTTTTTTCGGGAACTTCTGGATAAGTTCAGACTATGCAGGAGATATTATCGTGTTACAAGTGAACATTACAATAATGTGTATGGATAAGGTTTTATTTTTCAACGAATGAGGGCGACAAATGAGCACATAATCCATCTGATGGTAAGTGGACGTTGAGTCCCATAGATATCTATATTTATCTAAATCGAAATGCAAGTGCATTGTCACCCCTGAGGAGTAAGATAGAATGCCTGGTTTCCAGTGAAAAGGGTTCGCGGTTGTCTACAGTTAGCATACAAAACGAAGAAGCTATGAGCTATTTTACGCTGGTATTGTATGAAAGCTTGGTTCGTCCCAGTCGAGCGAACCTAATCGTGTTACAACCATAATATAGCTGCAACATGGCTCTAACACGTGTAAAAAGGTTGGAAGTAGGTGAAGATACAAATCAAGTCAAACAATTCCAACTGGTTCAAAACCAATAAATACTTGTTTCAACACATGTTGGCCTATGGTTTCAAAAAATCAAAGCGCGTCAAAAATATTGCTCCACCTACTTTAAGCCCCAATTTATTTATTTTTTTTCATGGTAGTTAAAACTATAACCTAAATAATAAAATAAAATAAATGTTCACTTTCATTCCTGCTCATTCTGCTCTATGCTCACACTGATTGCGATAAACGTAGCTATGGGAATTCACAGATTACCATGCACGGATCACCAACCATATTATAGTTTTACAATATCAGGGGATTTTATTCTGACGTTTGTCGTCCGCTTTTTACCGAGAAGTACTTCAGGTACTAATTGGGATACTTCTTTTACGAGTACCACTTGTTAGAGTTTGCGTAAACCACAAAGAGGATATCTATTCCCGATGCTTCGAAAGTACAGCTGTCTTGAAGTTACAAGCCTGTCCATTCTCCGGTAGAACCAGCCCCGCTGTCATATATATTCAAGTATATTGGCTTAAAATAATGCACTGCAACGTCTGTCTGTCTTCGTTATTACTTATGTGTTAATCGCGTGTTTTATCGTGGATTCGAGCCTACCGGGACCGGATCTGACATTTCTCCAGAAGCCTAAATTTTGTTCTAGATTAGTTCCGATTTTTTCATTTTTCTGATACACTCTGAGCTGGCTATTGCGATCCGATATCGCACAATAAGCTTAACATTAGATACGAATATTTTAGTGTTTGCAACGAGGGTGAAAAAATAAAAGAAAAATATGTAGAAATGCCGTGGTGCCGAGAGGCGTGGTAGCTCAGATGGTTAACGCTCGCTGTAAATATAACAGAACGCGAGTAACCCGGCTGCGATCCCCACCGGCACCAATGAAATTGTTAATTGCAACTTTAAGTGCTGATTTACCGCGTGCTCGGCGGTGAAGGAAAACATCGTGAGGAAACCTGCATGTCTGAGGAATAAGAAATAAAATATTTCGAAGACATGTGAAGTTAGCCAACACGCATTGGGGCAGCGCGGCGGACACTTCCTTGCCCTAAAACCCTCTCAGAAATGAGGGGAGGCCTGTGCCCACCAGTGGGACGTATATAGGCTGTAACTTTACTACATGTAGAAATGAGGGGAGATCTCCGTTTTAGCGCAGGCGTCAAAGAGGTATCAGTCGATAATTCTACGAGTCTCACTGTCGTTACGATAACCGTTGGTATTCTACTAGTGTAGGCAGGCAGAACGTACTTGAGAGGCTGCTCTGTTACATTGAGATCGGTAGTGTTGCCGTGCATACTTTGGTGTTATCATGTAATTGGGTCAACATGTTAGGGTTGATCAAACTGTGTTGCTCTAAACTGAATATATGGTGCAGTGTGCTGTTTTGTTGTTGATAATGAACGATTGCGTAAGTAGGAGAGCAAGTTGAGCACTCACACATTTATTACGCTCCCACCTTTATTATTTTAACAATTGGTCTCCAGAATTGTTTCTGATAGTGAGAAGGGTTTGTTACCGTTACTGTTGAAATTTTGAAACGCTGCGCTGTTAAAATATTTGTGGTATTTTACGTTCGCAAATAAGTTACAAAATTAATTAGTATTAATTTTCAATTTTAAGAGTGTGCTTTAATATTTTCCAGTATACAATACTTTCGCAAATAAGTTAAACAATTAATTAGTATTAATGTTCAATTTTTAAGAGTGTGCTTTAATATTTTCCAGTATACAAAGCCGCGGCTTGTGATGCTTGAAACAATTTACTCCGAGTTACAAACTTTGTTGATGGCTGCGCAGCGGGAAGGGTTTGAAGTTGGTTCCGGGGACAAAAAATAACGAAATTAGTTAATTTTGAGCTCGTCAAGGGTAGGAAGCTCTATTTTAATTTACGAGTGGGTGGTGGTACCTGAGTTTCCGATAACAAGGTCATTTAAATTAATGACTTGCTGAATTATTATGCGCTTGTAGTGAGTAAAAACGAGAGGACACCGAGTAACACATAAATATTGAGTAATATATTAATTCCGCCAGAACGCACTCGATCAGCGTGGCGGATACTGCCGGGTTTCGCGTGTTCGTTTTAAAAAAGAAAACTCTTTTATAAATAATAATTATATTTATTTAAGTGAAGTGATTATAAATAATAAATTCATAAATTAATGAAAACCTGATATCCTTTGGGGCTGATTTTCAATCATGATATAAAAGTTATAGAATAAAATACAACACACAAAGAAATTAAAAATTATAGTAATTATAGAATAAAACATCAGTCGGGTTATAATCTATTTGATGGATAACTATCATCTGACAATTGAAAAATCGGTCCTTAGTGGAGTAAGCACATTATAATTATAATGTTTAAATAATGTCTATCACTTGCTGGTAAATGAATACAATAAACATGCACCGAATTAAGTTGTTTTATTTCAAGAAGGTATTAAGTAAAAACTCATTAATCTAAATTTCTTATTTTTTAACCGAGATAAAAACAAACAGAGGGCTTGAATTCCAATGTATTTTCTTTATTTGAACATATTAATTGACTTTCCCTTTTAATAACCTACTGGCTAATTACCTAGCGGTGTTACCCGCTTCCAAATTATAACTTATAGATAGTCATGACCCAATCTTATTATGAGATCGCATAATATAGAGAGCTCAGGCTAACAATTACAAATTATCTCGAAATTCGGAATAAAAATGATCGCAGGTTTTAACTTAGGCCTTCAATAGTGAACTTATTTCTAAAATAATCATTTAAGTATAATAAGTCTTCATTATACAAATGTAAAACGCTCTATAATATAAAAATTCTCGTACAAACTTTAACACCCTATTTCACCCTATAATGATTTGAATTTTCCAAAATCCTTTCTTGTTGGATAAACTACATGCTCATTTATTTTATTTATAGAGTACTTTCAGTAAGTTTCGGGTCAATAACCTCATAAAATACATTTATATAAACTGTAATCCCCTATTTAATCATTTAGGAGAGAAATTTTCCAAAATCCATTTTTAATGGATTTTTTTTAGGGTTCTACGTCCAGCTGTTTAGGTGGCGCCTCCATTTATTTTGCGCAGTTTTCATACAAAGTGAACTCGGTTTAAAGTTTTATGGGTAAATAAAAATGGATATTTTGTTATTTTTCTTTAAAATTTGTTGCACCAGTTTCTAAATAAAAAGAACCGTAAACATTTTACTCCATACAAATTTTTACACCCTCTGGCCTCGTAAAAGTTTGTTTGCAAAAATTGCGAAAATCGTATTCAGTTATTTAGTTTACATTCGTTTCAATTCAATCGACCAGTGAAATAAAAAGTTTCATAAATAATTGTAACACCTTGCTTCACCCCCTTAGGGAGTAAAATTTTTAAAAATCCTTTTTTTGTGGTGCCCTACGTCATAAAAGGCAGCTACAGTCTAAATTTCAAATTCCTATGTAAAGCGGTTTGGAATGTGCATTGATGGATGACTCCGTCACTCGAGGCGTCCTGTTTAATATATATTATTCTGTTTTATATATTATATAGAAGATAGATGTTAGATATAGATGTTTTCATGAATGCGTCAGCCGGGTATTACCACCTTGGCGATTTGCACTTACGGTGGATAGGTGCGAAGATCCTCACTAACCGGTTTTTTAGTTGAAAGAGTATATTACGAGAGCAGTTTGATAAGTCAGTGACTTTTTTAATTTCCCGCGCAGTAACTCTAATGGCCACACTGCTCCTGTCAACTGTCATCTATTAATAGACTACTATCAAAATTTGAGCAAGCCGCGTTATTGCATTTGTGTTTGAATCTGCATTTTGATTTGTAATCTAGGATATATGTAAATGTCTATGGGCCGCAGCAACTACTTACCATCAGGTGGAATGTGTGCTCGTTTGTCACCTTATCTATATATAAAAAACCAATACGTCAGTCTGCGTGAGATCAGAATGGCTTTCCAGCACCTTAAAAACGACAAGGTCCCAGGCGAGGATGGAATTACGGCAGAGCTTCTGAAAGTGGCTGGAAAACCGGTACTTAAAGTCCTTCAGCGGCTCTTTAATTACGCCCTCCATGATGGAACTACTTCGGCGACTTGGAGCAGAAAAGCGGTGGTCTTGTTCTACAAGAAAGGCGACGACGCTCTCTTGACGAACTACAGACCGATTTTCCGTCCGACCGAGTCGCGTCTACGTGCTGTTTTCGAGAGTCATTACGAATCGTCTCGCACGCGGTCTCGACGACTTCCAGCCTCCGGAACAACCCGGTTTCCGAAAAGGTACCATAAACTATATACATAGCCTTCAGCAAATTGTACAGAAAACCGAAGAGTAGAATCTGCCACTTATGGCGTATGTGAACTATGAGAAAACCTTCGATTCCGTCGAAATTCGGGTGGTGCTACAGTCCCTTTAGCGGTCCCAAGTTGATTTTCGGTATATCGAAGTGCTGAAGGGTTTGTACAGTAGGTTTAACGATTGCTATCCAACAGCAGAGAGGTGTAAGACAGGGTGACGTTATATTCCCGAAACTCTTTACCGCTGCATTTGAAGACATTTTGAAGCTACTGGACTGGGAAGGATATTAACATCAATGGCGAGTACATCACCTTCGATTTTCCGATGATATAGTCCTTATGACAGATGGCAGAATCGCTGGAGGACCTAAGCATAAGAATCAATGACCTCAATATGCCTCCCAACGGGTAGGTCTTAAGAAGAACATGGACAAAATAAACATCATGTGTAACGTCCATGTCACACCTATGCCGGTAGTTGTTGGGAGTACTAAGCTCGAAGTTGTTGACGAGTATATTTACCTGAGACAAATAGTCCGACTAAGTAAGTCCAATTTCGGTCGAGAGATCAATCGACGAATTCAACTCGGCTGAGCAGCGTTCGGGAAATTTCGATACATTTCGTCAGCTATACCTCAAAACCTGAAAACGAGACTACAACCATACGTGTTGTCAGTGATGACTTTTGGAACTGAGACGTAGTCCTTCACTGCTGGCCGTATGACGACGCTCAAGATCACTCGGCGAGCTACGGAGGGGGCTATGCTCGGGGTTTTTCTGCGTGATAAACTTAGAAATGAGGATATCCACAGAAGAACCAGAGTGACCGACAAAGCCTAACGAATTAGTAAGCTGAAGTGGCAATGGGCCGCCATATAACTCGAAGAACCGACAACCGATAGGCGAAGTGAAGGGCGACCCCCCACTAGATGGAATGACGACCTAGTAAGACATGCAGGAAGTCGATGGATGCAGGTGGCTCAGGACCGTGCGTTGTGGCATTCTTTGGGCTGTGATGATGAAATGAATGATGATGATGCATATGCAATACTATTGTTACGAGCTTGAGGTTCGCGACAATAAAAACTGCCGATTGAATTACCCAAAATTTACACTTTTAATACTGAACACCAATTAAAACTCAAATCACACTAATAATTAATCGCACTGATCACTTTAGTTCACTTTATTTCGCTCCGAAGCTTCGCTTGTGTTGCCAAATTCAATACTGCCACGATCGCGGCTATCAACGGCTTTACATAGGGCTCTTCCACGAAAACATCCAGAATATTCCAGTAAATAAGGGGCCCTAACCAACCAGGCTCAGAAAGTTCGTCTTGGGCTTCTAGAAAGCTTAGTTCCTCAATTCGATACTAGATGGCGCTGTTGGTTGAAAGATTAGTCATGTCATTTTCTGGAAAGTTCTCCTCGCTCTGTTACCCGACATTAGATGGCGCTAGTGCCAGACGTCAACTTAGGCGCGCAACACTGCCCCCTCCTAAGACATGCTCGTCCCGAGCATTATCGGCCCCACATCCACAGAGGCGATCCACATGACGATCTTAGGAGTCCCTCTTGCGCCTTTCAGTATCCGGTAGGTTACATCGTTGATTCTGGTCACAATCCCATTTAGCTTGAAGCTTAAGAGATTTCTCTTTGCTGCGGACTGGATTGTGCAACGACACTAGTGAACCTTCGTCGTACCCTTTGTTGTTCATTTTGCGGTCATACCGGGTTTTCATCTTTTCGGACATTTGCTGGCCCGATTGTCTGACGTGCTCATAAATGTCATTAATTTTGTTCCGCAAGTCATTTGCATAATCGGTTATACTGCGTGGGGCGTCAGGTGGTATCCCGGTGATCAGGTCTGCAGGCAGCCGTAATTCTCTTCCAAAGTTTGTGAAAGCTGCTGTCATTGACGTACTTTTTACGCTTCGATATGACAACAAAAACGGTTGTATGTGCTTGTCCCAATCTCGTTGCCGATTGTCTACAACTTTTGCTAGGTACCTCTCCAATGTCTGATTAAATCGTTCTACCATTCCATCAGATTGCGGGTGATAAGAAGTCGTTCTTGTTTTATGAGTACCCATAACTCGGCAAGTTTCCTGGAATATTTGAGACTCAAAATTCCTTCCTTGATCGCTGTGAATCTCTAAAGGTACTCCAAAACGACAGAAGACTTCATGAACTAGTTTATCTGCAACTGTTGAAGCTTCTTGATTCGGAATGGCGAAGACCTCCGGTCACTTAGTGAAGTAATCCATCACAACCATGAAATACTTGTTACCGCTTTCACTCTCCGGAAACGGCCCCGCCACATCAATGGCTATTCTCTCCCATGGTGCACCAATATTGTACAACTTCAATGCACCTCTACTACGAGTCTGAGGTCCCTTTACAGCCGCACAACTTGTACATTTCCGACACCAGTCCTCGACATCGTTTCGACAGTGGACCCAGTATAACCGTCCTCGGATCTTCAGTAGAGTTCGTTTAACTCCCAGATGGCCTCCTGAACAATCATTATGGTACAGCTGT